TCTGTTAAAATATAAGTCTCTCTGTCAATCTCTTCTGATAGTCGTAACACATGCAAAATAAACTTGGCTTCACTATGGGTCGACGTTCGCAATCATCCAACAGTTTCGGTTCTTCAAGTGCATAACCCATCTGGTCGGTCGGACTGGTCGGTCATTAACATATCGTCTGGACTATACTCGGAGTTTCGAACTCCAAAATCAGATCCACACATCCATTGCTTGCAATACCTCGATATCCAAAAGCTACTTTTCGATACCGGTCGCTGTCCGTTGGTATGGTGATAATTCCACATTACCATCGCTTCATCCGTACATTGGTATATCCATGTCACTCTCTTTTTCATCAATCCATCTTCTTTTGTGTACACATCTTTTGGATACCGGAAATGTGTCCATCGTAATCTCCAAAATAGGTCATCAACAAATATCCATAGTCACACTCCACAATTTCTGGCACAACCCTAGACCAATTTAGTTGGAATGAGTGGCTGAGAATCTTCCTCCAATCACAACGCGTCATCTACCTCAGGTTTCAGTACCTCTTGCGGCTCAATTCTCAAAAACTCCAGAACTTTTTGGTCAACCAACGCTTCCTCGGTAGACGGGCGAATCCCCACAGACAGTTGTTGATGATGCTCTGATAAATTAACGGTGCATTCTTCAATCCAAAAGGCATTCTGAGCCATTGAAAGTGACCAAACGGGCAGACGAACGCAGAGATCAACTTCGCCCGCTCAGTCATTCGCACCGCCCAGAATCCACTCGCCATGTCGAGCCTCATAAACCACATTGCAGACTTGAAGTCTACTAGCAGCTCATCGACATTGAATAAGGGTAGAGGGTAGCGAGATAGCTTTATGAGCAGATTCAGAAGTCGGTAGTCAATACATATTCGGATGTCTATGCCGTTCTTCTTCAGCACAATCACAATAGGTGATGACCATTCGGACTCTGAATGCTCAATGAGCTCTGCCTCCAACAACTTCTTCAGGAGTTCAAATACCTTCACCAAGAACGCTGCGGCAATCTGCCTCGCACGTAGAGCCTCTGATTTTGCTTCACCAACGTCGATATCACACACCACGCCCCTGGCCGGGGCTGGGGCTGCGTTGCCATCCCCCAGGAAGATGCTGCGATGGCGTTTCAGGATCCCTCTTATTTTGGCTTCCATCCCTGGAGTTGTGACTCCCGGAACTCCGACATTAGCTTCGTCGATGTTACATTCTGGGGTCAGCTCCTCAATTTCTGGGAGCATGATAAGTTGGTCTCTTAACTGCGCCATCAAATCACTTCCTTCCGTGAGATACACAGCGGCTCTAGGTCCAGTTCTTCGGCGGAGACCGCATTACCCGAGCATATTCCGCCTCCAGCCTTTGGACCGCTGTCGAACAGCTCGTCAGTGACTGGGTATCCAATGACGGATCAGGGGCCTGAGCATCATTCTCGACATCTGCCATACTCTCTGGGTCTAGAGTCTCAACTTCCGGACTCGAGTCAGGATGGGTTTGTTCTACCGGCTCAGGGCGGGTCTTAGGTTCCTCGGGGTTCCTCACGACCGTGTTCATAACGACCGCTGCATTCCCGATGATCTTCAGCGTCATATCCACTGGTTTCGGCTTGTCTTGCAACTTCGCCATCTTCACTTCAGCGGTTTGGGACTGTGGACGCATTAAGAGCTTAGTAGGCCACTGATACCTCTGGGTCTGGGTGCACGGGGCTCCCTTTCCCTGAGAATCTGCTCCAACCGCTCAGCACGCATCCGTGCTTGGCGTGACACGGTACACTCACGGATTAGTTGTCGCCATTCTTCATACCGCGCTTTGCCAGGGCGAACGAACCCAGGCTGTCCTGGGAACTGTCCGTACGCCACGATACGCGCAACCGGAGTGAGTCCTCATACCACGGGACTTGGGGTCATTATCATACATCACCACAGTCTCTTCGTCTGGCAGCTTCCCTAAGCCTTCTCGTATGCAGAGTCGGACACCTGCCGAATGCATAACGTTCATGCCTAGCAGAACATCCACACCTTCTTCAATGTTTCCAACCCAGATATTCAGGACGTAAACTACACTCCATCCGAGAGTTATCTTCACTCGGGCATGAGTAGTAATGTCCTAAACCAGAGACTTTGATTTGACGGTGTGTCTGGAGCTTGGGTTTGAGTTTACGCGCTAAATCAAGACTCATAGTGCTCACGGATGGACCAGTGTCCAATAAGATTCTGGTTCTGGAGTCGTTCACAGTTCCATGTATCGTCGCCAATCCATGCATGTCTCCATGTTCGTGATTTTCCCACCATCCATACCTCTGACCCGGTTTCAACGGAACTTCCAAAAGATCCTGAGATTCGGGCTCAGAGATCTCTGGAATCGGGTCATTGAACGCTGGTACTCTGAGTACAATTGTTCAGGGTAGATGACTACATCTTGAACTAAATTCATGCATTGTTGGTTTTCTTGTAGTTGCGTCCTTCGTTCTGGTCCTATACAGACTAACACACACATTTCAGGGGGGTTCTTAGGCCCGTCGCGTACCGGATCCCCATCCGGCGGGCTTATTGGTTTAACTGCTGCGCCCCTGAAGCGTGATCCTTGGTCTGCAGGAGGCTTCGAAATTGAGTTGGTAAATCACTTGCATTTCTTTGCTTCGCCAGTGTCATCACAGACGAAAGCCTTTCCATTGTTCACACGATATTCCGTGAAAATCTCGACATTCGGCACAACGAATTCTGGTACAGACCCTGGCCAGGTGTCCCTTGCCTTGGCATCGTTCACATATCATTCCAGTCGAGCAGTTGGCTTCAGGGTGTCCCCATTCCTGCATTTCTCGCAGAAGACGTCCAATTCTCTGGTCGAGTTGCACCTTGACCCGGATGTGGGTTGGATGACTTCCAGTGTTGGTTCTCTGCGACTCGAAAGACTTCTCCATCAATTCCACCATTGGGAAACTCTGAGATCGGCTTCGAGTGTGCTTCTGCTTGTTCTGCAAACACATCAGGACTCTGAGACTCAGGTTGGAACTCTGAATCCTGCATGAGTTCGGCATCGCCTTGAGTCATAAACGCACGTCCCTGACGTCTAGCCGGTCCACGATTCTGAGGTCAGCCTTGGTGAACGTTGTCGGCACGGAAATCTCTGGGCTTCTTAGGAGCTGGAGAGCCATATCCTTCTTCACGCCACACATTCTCGTGGCGACGTAATACTCGTTCCAAGCCCGCGATGCTCTGGAACCTGTGACCTTCGAGAGCTGTCTTCAGCTGATCATTTCGGAGCTTCTTGATGAATCGTCGAATGTGGGACTCACGTAGCTTAGAGCTAGACTTGAACTTGACTTCAGCCTTGACTGCAGCTGCATTCAGACGATAGAAGAACTGCAATGGGGTCTCGTGGTCGGTCATCTTCATCGTGAAATACCTTCCCGAGTACGAGCCTGTGGTACCGATATACAGCTTCCTGAATCTGCACGACATGTGTTTCCAGTCGTGACGTGTAGATTTGGGTAGCTGCGTAAACCAGTCCCTGATCGCTGTGGGCATACGGCTCCTGAACTGACGAATCTTCATCGCGTCTGACCAGGATCCCTGCGATGCCATATCCGAGAATCGCTCCCACCAGTTGACTCGATTGTCCCTGGAAGCCTTTCCGTCGAACTTCTCCAGGTTAGTGTAGTCAATGTAAGGTCTACAGTTCCAGATCGTTGTTCCATCAGCCGTGGTCGTGGTCGTGGTCATTCCGATGTCTTCACTCGAGAAGCCTTCAGCATCACTGGAGTCGGAACTGCCTCCTCGACTCGCATCATTGTCGCTGTCGCTGGGCTCTGAGTCGTCTGGGCCGTCAGGAGGCGGGTCAGACCGCTCCTTCGCCTTCTTCAGCTGCGATCTCTTCGACGACGATGATGCAGACTCTTCCTTCCGCACGGCGGTCTTCCTCACGACTTGCGACTCCGTTCGCTTCACGGCTGACTGCGTCTGTGACGCATTCGACGACTCTCGGCGAGTGGCGTTCTTGACCGATGGTGTCTCGCGCTTGATCTCTCGCTTTTGGTCCACCGCAACACTCTGTTGGACGGATGCCACTGTCGGTGACGCACCTACGATGGGCGTCTGACTATTCTTGGCCGCGACTGGTCGCACTGGATTCAAAGTTGCTGAATCAGAGGGACTCAGGGGCTCTGATTGCATACCAGTTGCTGGATGAGGGGGAATCTGGGACAGGGCAGCTTGAAGTACCATTAACATCTGGTTTTGCATGCCGGCCACAATTGCTTCCCTCTCAAGCTTCCATTCTTCTTCGCGATTCTTGAGTTGCTGTTTGAAGTTGGACCACTGGGAGTTGAGCATCCGCTCGCGTTCCTCCAGAGCATT